CGGCCTGGATGGCAGAGGCTGGGCATGGTGGCTCATGCCTGTAATCCCAGCATTTTGGGAGGCCGAGGCAAGTGGATCACCTGAGGTCGGAAGTTTGAGAACAGCCTGGCCAACATGGTGAAACCCTGTCTCTTAAAAAAAAAAAAAGGTACACGTAATGAATTTTTACTAAGTGAACCAGCACAGATCAAGAAATAGAACATTACTAGATTGGGGTATATATGTAGGAGTGGCATTGTTGGTTTTAGAGGTATATGAATGATAAAACTTTAGTATGAGATATTGTTGAACATTTTCCCAATGTGGTTGTCCCATTTAGCAGGGAATATTCTGGTTACCCCACATCCTTGCTGATGCTTGTCAGTTCAAAATTATTTTGCCATTCGAGTAGAGGTGCAGCAGTATATTAGTGTGGTTTCATTTTGTATTTTCCTGGTATTGAGATTGAGTATTTTTTATTGTCATTTATGTGTCCTCTTTTGTGAAGTGTCTGTTCAATCTTTATATCCTGTTTTCATTGATATGCTTGTTTTTCTGTTGATTTGTAATACTTTATTCTGGATATGTGTCGTTTCTAGAATATATATGTATTGCATTTCTCTTTTTTCAAACTGGAGCTTGCCTTTTCACTCTTTTAGTGGTGTTTTTACATGAATGGAGATTCTCTAATTGTTTTTTTTCTTTTTGAGACCTAAGCTGAGGAATTCCACTCTGCTGTCCAGGCTGAGTGCAGTAGTAGAATCACAACTCAGTGCAACCTGGACCTCCCAAGGCTCAGGTGATCCTCCTGCCTGAGCCTCCAAGTAGCTGGGACCTACAGAGGGGCACCATTATGCTCAGCTCTTTTTTGTATTTTTAGTAGAGATGAGGTTTTGCCACGTTGCATAGGCTGGTCTGGAATTCCTCAGCTTAAGTGATATACTTCGTTTGCCTCCTGAAGTATTGGGATTATAGGTGTGAGCCACTGCACCCAGGCTGAGTTTCTTAATTTCAATAAAATTCTACTTGATCAATCTTTTCCTTTATGGTGACTGCTTTTTGTGTCCTGTTTAAGACATCAATGCCTAACCTAAGAATACGAACACATTTTTCTGTGTTAGCCTTATAGCAATTTTATTTTAGTTTATGCATTTATTTTTCAGACAGGGTCTCACTCTGCTGCCCAGCCTGGAGTGTGGTGGCATGATCTCAGCTCACTGCAGCCTCCACCTCCTGGCTCAAGTAATCCTCTCACCTCAGCCTCCTGAGTAGCTGTGACTATAGGCATGTGCCACCATTGTCTGATAATTTTTGTATTTTTTGTAGAGATGAGGATTCAACATGTTTCCCAGGTTGGTCTCGAACTCTTGGGCGCAAATAGTCTGCCCATTTTAGCCTCCCAGAGTGCTGGGATTACAGGTATGAGCCACCCCACCTGGCCATGATTCACTTTTTACTACAT